ATTGTAAATTGGTCTGCTATTCGGTTATCTAAATAAAGTATTTGTTAAAAATAAAATAATATTAAGACAAAATTTAAAATTGTTGTATTCACAGGTCACAGGAAATTTTACAGTTTTAACATTTAATAAATTGTTTAGCCAGGATTTAGCAAAATGGAATAATTTTTATGAAATAAGCAGCAAGAATTGTACTAGGTCAATTAATGTCAAGATATGGTCATGTGCTAAACAGTTACTTATCACGCATAAATACGTCCACATCCAATGTGTGCCCTACTTATTACGTCACCCATTTCTTTTTTTCACCCAAATGTATGTTCACCATTGCTCTTTATAACCTCTATATTACTGTTCCTATCCCATCTCATTGTGCATTATCTTGTCAACTTTTTATGTGCTTGCTTTCAGGTCGATATTTGGTTAGAATAAGATTGATTCAAATTAATTTCTGGGGAAAAAGTTGTGAATTATTACAAATCCAAATATTATTATATTTTCCTGGATTTTTAATTTTTAATGTTTAAATTTAAAATTAAAAATAATTTACTGAACAAATAGTAACGACCATTCCTTGGAAGGAAGATGATATCTAATGAAACGATATAAAGTTTTTTACTTCAATCATATATGCAGTCTGTGTTCGGGTTAGCTCATACCTATGTACATACATGTTTACATTGAAATAAAATATATGGTGTTAGGGAATAGCAATAAGAAATTGCAAAATATAGAAGTAGCACCTAACGGACAGCATCAGTGGTCCCGACCTGGATTGGGTAAATTATTTGTTGGCGGTCTTAACTGACTAACCTCTTTCGACAAATTCAAGGAGTATTTCATGTTTGCTGCTAAATATTCATCCATTTCAATACCTGCTGTCGTTGAGGTAAGTGTGATATAGTTTTCAAAACATTTAAAATTCCTATTTATTATTATTATTAAACAATAGGCTATGAATGACTTGAAAGATCTACTGTTCGCCTAAAGGTCCAACTAAAACAACTCTAGACAATCTAATCAAGTCTACATCTTGCCGCCGCTAGTCAGTTGCATAGAACATGTTTTCATGTTTACTTCTCCTCATGACAGAGTCGATAGGAATCACTTCATACCACCTAAAATTCCTGTTTATATAGAGGTATTTTCTTCGTAGTTATTTATTATATTGATTATGCTCTCGTAATCATGGTTGAAAATGATATCTCTTTAATAAATCATAATAAAATGGTTTTATATGATACGTCATATTTTTATTATTTTCTTGATATAGTTATGACTGTTTTCGCTTTTATACAGTGCCTGAGGATTGATACATTAGTAACTACCAATGTACAATTTTTCAGCAGTGCATCCCGCTGATAATGAGTGGGTTTTGTTTTTAAGGATAAGGTACCATATTTACCAATATACCAATGTATTGTGTTACAATAAGATTTTTGTTTTCTATTATATTATTTTTCTATTTCTATTATTTTCAAATAGTCCTGCATAAAAATTTATTACAGATACAATCCTGTCATTATACTTACTAATGCGCAATCATAAATAAAGTTACCGGCATGGCTTCCAAATAAACTTAATATGTCTCAAATGTTCTACTATTAAGACTATGTACTGGAACATTTATACCTAAATATTCCTTCGACATTTAAATTTTTTCAGTTAATTCCAATAGGATTATTTTAAAAATTTTCTATATTAAGTTTGTTTATATTGTGCTGGTGTTATTATATCTTGTACAGGTCAAAATTTATATATTTAAAACCGATTTGCAAGTTTTTATTTTGTTTGATTTGCCGTGGTGTTCTATTTTCTAAATGAACTCCCTGTTGTGCTGGCATTTCATTAGTTTTGTTTGTTATATATACACCAAATTCTCTATTTCTCAATATTCATTACGTTGTTCAGTTAGTGTTTCTTCTTTTTTTGTCTTATACATCACCTTGTGAGCATCACAAAAAATAATTATAATGAAGATAATTCAACTTCAATTATGTTAAAAATTGAGTAAAAAAATTCAATACAAATACAACAGATCTTCGCTTGTCCGAAAATCCGGTAATCCCCTGTTATCCGATCCCCTGTTATCTGAATAATATTTCACGCTTCCTTACAGATAAGGCTTAGAAACGGAAATTGTTGCGTTCCACTTCAATTAAAAGAAATATATTGGTTCGGTTCCGGTTCTTGTTCCCATAAAAATATCGGTTATTTTTGTTTTTCGATTTAGTTTTTTAATTTTCAGTTTAAAGCTTAAACTAAACTGAACGATGTTAATTAATGTTAATTAAATTGAACAGACATATTCCTTCTAGTCTGGTTTCGGTTCGTTATTTTTTGGGGATTTTGGTTTACAGATCAGTTTCTGTTTAAAACCCTGATTGCTTTGCAAGCTCTGCAAGTACTTGAACTTAACACTGACTGCTTGTGGGAGTATACTTCGTGTAATTTATATCTATTTTATTTAGTAGGATAATATATATGCGACTTGTTTTTTTCAGTTTATGCCATAAGTACTTTAATCTATGATGTTAAGGAATTTTTCTTGTATCTTGCAGTTTTTTCATTTAATTTAAATAACAAACCGAGCAAGAAAAATTGTTTTAAATATGATTTATATATTTAAAATTTATAATATATATATATTTTTTTTTATATTTCATTTAAAAAAAAAATAATAAAATTATAATAATTTAATTTTATTTGATTTGTAGTATTAAATTATTTATACGTATTTTTTAAATTTTTTATAAACTAGTTATAAACTAATAACTAGTTGATATATGTTGTCCTAGTTCTACTTATTTAATTTATACCTCATTTAATGAATTGAAATTTAATTGAAGATTTTATTTTCTATGTTTAATTACAACTTCATTCATTAAAAAATTTTTATTCAAACAGTGGTTAAGAACGCATGTGCCATGAAAGATACTTCAAAAATATGAAACATAAATGAGATACGGGAAAAATATTGATTTTTCCATATCTGAAGTTTCAAACTAAATTGTTAAGTACAAAATTCGGGGTGTGGGTGCTGAATATCGAGGATACTTTTAAGGCGTATGTTAAAATAAGAACAGCAGTTTCCTCCTTGCAAGAAAAATTTATTTATAAGTTATTTGTATACATAAATATCTTTCATTTAATATTAAACTAAAGAAAGTATCCCATAATATTGGTTAATAAGTGAACAAAAATAATTAAGAAAAATGCGCGCTCATTTTGCTGGAGATGTTATTTCGCACGAAAGTGTTGATAGAATTGAACAGGATTCACCGTCCTTAGAGGAGCGCATCGAGGAATTCAAACGTGACTCCAAAAAAATGGAAGAGTTAGAAGAGTTTATAAATGATGTACTAACAAAAGCAGAAGCAGAGGCAATTAAGAAACAAAGTTCTAAACATAACATAGGTTCGCAACAGGTAAAAAAATTTTTTTACTAATATTTCAGATATGTTATTTCAATTTATTAATTTTTTTTTTAATATTTTAGACTAAGGAAAAAACTCGACAGAGTAAGTTTAATAAAAATGCCATTCACAGTAAGTTTGGACATATATGTATATATCTGCATATAAAATTATGTGTCCTTGATTTCGTATTTATAAAGTTTAAGGAAATGTAAATCCTCCTGGATTAAAGTCGCGTGTACATTTTGTTACATAAAATACCTTTTCGCATGAATCCTTATAATTTTTTTCTGCACAGAATAAAAGAATCAATTCAAGAATATACAATGTATTATAATACATCAAATTGACCGAATCGAAATTGTACTTACGCACATCCTTGCAAGCGTTAAATGCCTGACGTGCTGTATCCTGCATGGAATCCGGCAATATGATTGAGATTTGTGCTATTGTCTTTTGTATATTTAATTCGCCTTTTTTTGTTAACTGCAATAGATAAACGTCTTAAGAGATATTATGTTTTATTTATCCATAAAGTTTAAAACATAATTTGATTTATATTTACCGTTCCAGCCAATTGAGCTACGCATTTGGTATAACACTACAATATAAATAATATATATTAGCTTAATATTAATTTATTTATAAATATTTGCTATAATAATTTAAATTAACAGTGTTTATTTTTTTCGATTTTGTTCAACATTATACTCACTTTTAAATCCTGATTATTTTCAGTAAACTCACCCGCCCTTAGTTTATTTAGAATTTCTACGGGAATTTTAAATTTTGGTGCACAACCATGTCTCATCATATCTAGACTTTGATGAAACTGTTCTACTGTTATCTAAAAATAATAAAAAATTTTTTTAAATTAATTATTTAAAATATAAAATAAAAGTTTTTATAAAAGTTTTACTCTGAAACTTTCCTCTTGTGTTAAAATTGTTTTTTATATCAGATGCATTTTTTTTTTCCAAAATATTTTAGTCTTAAAAATTTTGAAACTTTTGTTGACAATTGAGTATTAAAAAGGATTGGAAATATTATTTTCTTAGTGATTAATCTAATCATCATTGCTCTGGTAGTTTATTCAGAACTATATTTCTTTTTGTTCCTTTTAATCATACTTGTTAAATGCTAGATTCAATTTTTAAGATAAGAAGTTGGAATAACTAATTTGTTCATAAGATCTATTTAGAGAAGATGAGTTTATTATATTTAATTAATAAATGTGTTGTATTAGCTTTAATCTTTCTATTTTGTAATTAAGTAATTGAGCAAAAGTTTTAAGTGTAATAGTACATTTCCATTGGCTCCGTTAGATCAGTTAACTTACTTGAGATTCAAGTACTATAAACAAACTCAAGTAAGTTAACTGGTCTAACGAAGCCAATGGAAACATACTATAAACATTTTTAAATAAATATGGCTAACGCGGAATGTATAAAAACAAGCCTTAAGTGAAAAAAAGTTTCATTCTTACTTCTAAATATGTTATTAATATCAAACATTAATAAATGAAATCAATATATATTACTGCAAAATAAGTAAAAATTAATATTAAAAATGCAAAATATAAGAGAGAGGTTTATATATGTATATAGAATTTATTGAAATCATAATATGATGAAAAGAATACCTCATGTATTTAGTATAAATGTTAACAAGGTTTTATAAAAATATTATATAGTAGTTTTAAATTAATAGAGAATAGTTCAAACATTTAGCCTAGAAGTAAGTAATTGCAAAGAAGTAACTATGATTTTGTTTGAATTAAGTAATGAGCATACCTGAAAAATACGAAACCGTTTTATACAGCACAGTTAAAGGAACACCTCCAAACTTAAAGTATATAAACTCCCTGTCTACCAAGTTTACTAATATAGTTAACAAAAAAGAAATCTCCAATATTTAATTAACCCCTAAAAAATTTTTTATCTGATTTGCAATAAATTATTATTATATCTGATTTGCAATTTTTCGCTTTGTCAATTTTTTGGTTACATACATACATATAATATATTATAATTATAAAATATGTTAACTATGGGTTTAACAACAAGGCTAATTATAGTGTTTTTTTAACGATTCACTCTATTTAAAAGATTGGCAGATACTGAAATAACTTATTCGAAAAGTTAAAGTTATGAAATACATAATATATTGAAACAGTTTGTTTTGATTTATTTAATTACATGTAGTCTCTTAGAGAAAACTATAGCTACGATACTTCTGTAATTGGTCAATATTTTAAGCAGAAGTTACACACAAACTATTTTTACGGTTGGAATTTATAAGCGAAAACTTTTTGCTAAATCGGACTGATTTCGACAAGTACAATAAATACAAAAATTTATTATTATTAAAAATATAGTACCACTAGATCATTAGCGATATCTGTCACAGTCGTCGTAACAGCTTAATTTAACTATAGAATTGAGATCGCACCCATAATATGAGTGAGATCGACATTGTATCCATAATATGAATTAGATCGACTCCATACTGAATGTTACTTAAACTATAGTACTATTCAACTAGTCGACCACTATTAAATGTGGGTATCGTTAATTTGATTCCATTCATTTTGCATCACATATTCGTTCAAAGTTTTCATTACCAGTATAACTTTAAAAATGATAATATATAGTTTAATTATTTTAAACAGTTTCAGAATCCAGATTGTTTTAAGAAGTTTTATTCGTATTGTCAATGGGTTTCATTATATATATAGCACATATTTTAATTTTTCTTTAAAATTCAAAATTCATTACCACCGCAATTTTAAGTTGGTTATATTAAATTAAATTTTGTACAATTTAATTCACATTTGTTTTTATTAATATGTTCACATAAAAGTATAATATTTAAAAATTAATTTAATATAATTATAAAAATATAAATATTAAATATACGTAATATATTATTTTTTCTTTTCAATTTATATAAATAATTAAGATTTTAAATTAATTCCATCCCATCACCCAGCCTAGAGACGAAATGTCACTCATACAATATACGATTCTTAGAAGTGGGAATCTAAAAAGTATATATGTGTATAAAAAATTTTAAACATTAATCATTGAAAACTTTGCTCATTGAAAAAACACTATTTTTTTATTGGAAGAAATATTGTTTAATTCCATATGGTTAGAAAAGTGCTGTGGCGACTCTATTCCTTGAATATAATTTTTTTTATTAATACCCGTAGTTTCCTAAGTTTAAACGTAATATTATTAAGTTCAATGACGTTGAGCGCTTTTGACTCCGGAAAGCTTGGAAAAGCATATAAAATTCAATAATCAATTGATCAAGGACCTATTACAATGCAATGTTAAACACTATTTGCAGCTATTTAACCATAATAAAAATTTTTTGTGCTGATATATAATAATGGATGAAACCATCATCAGCTAAGCAGAAAGAAATCAGTGGATATTATCTAAAGCGATTCTGCTGGGAAGATTATTATATTTATATATTGGTATACACTTGTTATTCCTGGAAGATATTGTATTGTTTAAATTTGTATCCTCTTCAGCCGTATACGTCAGGTTTAAACCCCTATATCAAAAGAGCACTCCAAGATTAGATATCTGATATTAACAATGAAGTTATATCCTAAAAAATTGCCTATTTCAAATCTATATATAAATCGTTGACTTGTAATTGAATTATTCTTATAAACAAAGTCGATTTTCCCAGAAGATATTGTATTTTTTGAAAATTAGTATCTGGAGTAACTAAGTGATGTGTATTATTTAATAGGATCGTTTTTTTAAATGAAAGTTATTTATAATTTTAATTAATTAGGTTGTAATTTTTCAATGATTTTTTAATATATTATCCACACTTTCACTTCTGTTGCATTTAATTTTATTTTTTATAAACTCACCGTATTAATTAATCGTATAAATAATATATTTATTAAAATATGTTTGAAAATTTTTGCCATTTTAGTGACACGTTTGATTTAGATAAAATTTGCAAATGAAAACTTTGAGATAGTTTTACCTTTTTATAATATTTCAGAAAGTTTTAAACGAATTTTCGTAATATAGGGAGATTTTTAATTAAATGCTTAAAGTTAGTAATTAAAGTTTCAATTCTGAAAAACGCAACAAACTGTCATATTATATAGAAAGCTGTTAATTAAACAATGCGGAAAATATAATATTACTGTTTGTTAAAAACTTTAAAACGAGTTATTTACAAATAGTTTCTCAATTGCTGGCAATTGGAGATTTTCTAAATGAATATTCATAATCTAATATGTGTTCTATATGATATATACATGAGTTATATATGAGCATTGTGCAAAAGAGACAGATTCTAAATACACTTCTTTTTATACACTTTTGATTTGATTATGATTTTTAATTAAGTAATCCATTACATGATCATAATCTTAAAATGTTAGAAGATTCTCTATTCAACTAAAAATATTAAGGTAGGTAATAATTTGGTTTTTATTCCCCCTAAGTGAAACCCATAACATCTGTTATTAATTAAAGTTTGACTTTGTTATGCGAATAGATAACGATATCGTTTTAAAAATACTCAGTACTTTTTAATATCGTTAAATTATTCTTCTTCAAATCATTAGTATTACACAAGGCCGACAAGATTGTTCTGGGTTTCAGCACTATGCCTGTTGTGGTGATAAAAATTTATATTAAAATTTGGTCTTCTGTGAATGTCCCCATTCAGTCTATTTCGTGTTTTCATATATATTCATATGTATTAATAACTTAACCTATTCTAGCTTGCAGATTAGTGTCAGACATCTAGTGCCACTAAATGCCATATTTGGTGTTCATTAAAGTCGGTTATTCATTAAAGTCGGTTATTTTATTGGATTATAAAGGCATTCTTTCACTGTCATTAATTAAAGTTGTTTTTAAATTTGTATTGTTTAAGTGAATTTGTTGATTAGTCGATGTAACACTGGAGTTCCATATCGTTTTAAGTTAAATACCTCTAGTTCTATTGATTTTGAAAAAATAACACCTTTAGTTGATCCTGTTTTATCTGTAATTCTGTTTTTGAAGAATGTAACTGATTACATACATACATTCTAGTTTTTCATATTTTAGAATATGAGCAGAATATCCGGGACTTTCGTTCTCATTACTTTCTTATTCATTTCAAGACCAGACTATAAGAAATTTACGTACAAATAACAGATTATTCTTAAGGTTAAAATTTGAGTAGACAAAATTATTATTAGAAAATATTACTCTAGAGATTTTTCCCTTTTCTCTTCTTTGTTTTAATAGAGAATATTTATTCATTATTATAATAATGAAGATATTAGTAAAGGGAATCTCAAGACTGTTTAGTATAGAATTTAAGGTAGTTACCATATTCGTAGGAGGTTTTTTAGTGGGGGTGAGGGTTTGGGGTTGGTTGGAAGATTTTGGTTGGAGGAAGATTTTTAACTCTATATTACGTTTACTATTGAATGTATACCCTTGCTGATAATGGAACTGAAGTATCAAAGGTACATTCATATATGCATATGTATATATAATATAGTTCCGTTTTTTGTTTTTCTAATGTATTTTTCAATGGTATACATTTTTATATTGTAAAATGTCGTAAGCCAGATGGTATAGCGAAACTATTGTATTTTTTTCGAATAACTATTGAATACTTGTTTTCAATATTTAATTTTATTTTAATTTTGCCAATAATGCTTAATTTCTAGTGATCAATTATAATACCACTTTTTAATTTTAAGATGTGTTAAGTGCTTATGTATCTAAAAGTATCTATCTTTTATTTCAATAACAATTTGTAATAAAGGAAATTCAATTATATATAACTTTTCTAATTATTATATTCAAAAAGTTTTATGCTTTAGTTTTCGCCATTATTTAATGTGGTATAGATTCGATAATATCTATTTGTGACAATTGTGCTTATTTAGGAGTTCTGGTCTAAGTATTTCCCAGAGAGTTTCTTAAAGCATAGAAATTTTTTTGTCTATGTATTGATCATTTATTGTGTATCCTATCCTACCACGAAATTAATTAATTATATTTATTTGAACAAAATGAACGCAATGAATAAGTTAAATGAATAAAAATAAAAAAAATTTTTGGGTTCCTGGATACGCACAAGATTACAGTATATTAAATTATTGTTGTATAAAAAGAAACGAATTGGTGCACAATAGATCAAGCTGGTCTCAATGCATTAGGGCCTTAGCCTAACCCAAAACCACTCAATACTATTGACCATACCAAAGAAAGGAAATGAAGCTTAGAAACGTAAAACGCACTTTTATTGCATTTTGCCACCTTTTTTAAAAAAAAAAACGATTTTTATCAAGTTAAAAAAAAAGCATTAATACTATATATTATAATTTATTTTTTTATAAATTTTTTATTTTATAATAAAATAAAATAAATAAAATGAAATAAATTATTCAGAAAGAAAAAAAAAACCAATATTATATAAATAAAATTCAGGTTTTCAAACTTTATAATAAAATTCAAGCACCTAATAGTATTTAATAAGCTTATTTAAATAAAATTCTATATTAATTATATATATAACTTTTGATAATAATTTAATAATAATCGCATGCTTTTATCCTTTACTAATAAAAAAATAATAATTTTTTTTTATTTTTTGCAATGCTTTTTATACACATATTTTTACCCCGAAAATATTTAAAAATAAAAACATGCCAAACTTAACCTCACACCTAATGAAAAAGGTTTTACTATACCAGATTTCAAGAATGGAAAAGTGGTTAATCGTGCACGAGGATTCGTTGTGCGCATTTTCGATGCCATCTGCAATTGCGCCAATACCGCTGCAGCGCCAGCACAACGTATTAAATTACGCGCCAAACGCGCTCAATCTGCTGCAGCGGCAGCTGTCAACAGAAATACTAATGCCACCTTAGCGGATGAGAATGGTGAAAAAATGGATTTAAAAGAGGCGAAAGTCAAAAAACAGGATAAAAGTAAAGATAAGTTAATTGATAAGAAAAAGGACGACAAAATTCAACAGGAGGAAAAAATGGAAATGTTACAATCTCAAAATTAAATATAATATATAACATTTGTATTCATATGAGCCCAAGAGATATACAGTTTAGTAATAGTATCTGTATTAGGAATTTGTTAATAGTATAAAGTCGGTATTAAATAATTCCATATTCTAAAAGTTCCTCCCACAAAAATGTATTGTATAAAAACTTAAAAATTTTATTATATATTTTAAAAAACGTAAATAGATTGTGTTAAAACAATATAAGATACTTTATCTTATTGTCAAGGTAAGGCTCAAGCACGGAATATTACAATAGCTTTATTAAAATACATTTTTAAACAGAATTGATCAATAGCATTCGTTTACCTCATAGTATATCAATATATTTAAAAGATCGCGGCGAACCTATTAGGATGTCAGATCATTTCATAGATTTTTACTCAATTTTTAATAACAGAAGTGTTCAACAGCAAATGCTAAATTATCGAAACATTAGAAAAAAATAATAGCATAGGTAAATTTTTATAAGATAATAATTAAGTATTTAATATCGACTTTTACTCTTAATTATTTTGTGTTATTATCATGCAATTTTGGTATATAAAACTGAAGTGATAGCAAAATGTTGATAAGATTTAAATAACCTACTTTTGCATTTATACCGCACAAAAGAGAATTATACCCACCTATTTTTAAAAATATGCTTATAACACTAGTAACTTTATTTGGAATTTATAAATGACATATTGTGTGAACTAAATGTTATAAACTTATTAAGTTCTTATGTCTGTCTTTTATGTTTTGTTTATATAAAGGCGTATTGGTCAATTTAGTGAAACGAAAATATAATAATAAAAAAATAAATAATAAAAAAATAAATTATAAATATAAATTATAATATTTGTATTTTACTAAATTATTTAAAAATCCAATTAATTAAAATAATATAAAAAAGAATTTTTGTTGTTGTAATTCACTACTTTTCGAAAAAACCTCTTTATAAAATATACTAGCTTCTATTAAAAATAATAGTCACTTTCGTCTTAAAAATGACTTTAAATTACAATTTATATTCACAAATTATTGACCTCGCCCGTGCGATTCGTGGAGTAACATTAGCATGACTTTCTCAGTATTACATTCCTAAATTAGGTTCTATACATAAGAAACAATTTATATATCATGCAACAAATAATGCCTCTACAAACAAAATAGTATTGAAATTTAACAGTTAGGTTCATTAGGTCCATAGGCCCATTGTGCTAAATTTAACAATTAAAAATAAAAATATAATTTATTAATTCAATTATTGTACAGCTGGTTCATGATTTCATTCTAATATAAACACAGAAAGTGAGTTTGTTAATAAAACTTTCACAGCAAATTAACAAAACTCTAGAAAAATGTGTGAACATAAAAGTCAAGTCGGCTTTGGGTCAATTGGTTAAGGTGCGCTGACTCTGAGCTTTAAATTTGGCTGGGCACGAGTTCGATTCCTTATATTTGCAGTCTCAAAAATATTATTTACGATTAATTAAATTCAAGAATTATTTCTAAGACCACTGATGATGGGTATTTGGCAATATCCGAAATAGCTGTATGGTCAGCCAAAAATTCAATTAATTAAAATAATATAAAAAGAATTTTTGTTGTTGTAGTTCACTACTTTTCGAAAACCTCTTTATTAAATTACCTAATGAAGACATATTGTATAAACAAAACATAAAAACATTTTGGTTATCATATTTTTTAAACAATAAATTAACGGAAAAAAGTGCTGTACGAAACGTTCTTCACAATAACACTATTTAAATATATTATATATTAACAGGATCTCATTCTATAAGAATATAATAATGGAAAATCTTGTCAACACATATTTTTATTACTCTTTGTTTCTACCAAATTTTCCCTTTTTGTTAGCGTTAAATGAAGTTTCATATTTATATTATTATTAATAATGAGTTTCTAAGAACTTACAAGTACATATTAAAAAGTTATTACACAACTCTTCTTATATACCAAGAGGTAATCTATAATAAAAAAAATTGTTTCTTAAATACAAATTTCTGCATAATTTAACTCTGGGTTTAAGAATAAAAACAAATTTGTGTCTTCAATTACGTCGATAGGAAAAAGAAAAATCAATTAGTACTATACTAAATAAGCACACAATCAATATTACTTTTTAATAAAATAGTTTATAAAAAAATTATGATAAAAAAATAATACAGAATATAAAACAAAAAGTAATATACAAATGTAAGTATGTGTTTTTAAAAATTTAATCAATGTGTATGTGTGTGTAGTTTATATATATAGCAAATTATTGTATATTTATGTAAAACGATATATTGTACTTAAATATATAAAAACAATAACTGTGTACTGATTTTATATAATTTTTTTTTTATTATTTTAATTTATATAAATTTTTACTCTATTACAAAAACAGAACTCATTAAATGAAGTTTCATATTTTCTTTTAAATATTTTTTTAAAAAATCTTTTACAATTTACACAAAAAAAATAAATATTTAATAATAATAAAAACTTTTGCACAATTTTAACGTAGTATATTAAAATTTGTAAATTAATAATAATTAATGCATATAATTATATAAATAAGTAAATTATGCAATTCAACTAATTTAAGTTAGAAAATTAAAAGGAAATAATTATAACCTTTTATTATCATAGTCTCTTTCATAAATTATACTGTGATCATTTGATGTGAAGAATATCTATTTTCCATAACAAATCCTAAAGCCTTTGTCTCAATTTATTAATATATTTCTTATACTTTATTAGAAGGGGTAATCACGATCTCGAAAAACGACCTGTGTAATTAAGTAATATTGTAAAGTTCCAACAACAAAATATATGTACTTAAATGTATTTTGCACTGTAACTATGCTAATCACTTATCGTGCTTTTTACACGAGATCGTGAAATCCCCTATTATCAATTCTTTAATTTTAAAAATTATTTAATATATTTAATAACTATTACTATTTATTGTTTCAAATTATTTATTTAATATATTTGATAATATTTAAGATTTATTTAATAATATTATTAAATAAAAATTTATGTGCAATACTTCCAAATGTTTATTTATATTTAATTTATCTTATATACTTATTTTAATTAAAATTTAAGGAAATCTGTATTACCAAAAGAAAAGCAATAAAAATTCGATGTTGTACTTATTAAAAAATCAATCAATAAAAATCATTTCTATGAAATAGTGTTTTTTTTAACAAAATGAATTTCAATAAAGTTTTTTTTTTTAAAATATGATATAAAATAACTTTCATTACTTTTATTATGATATTATTATCAAATTCTTACAGATATAATCGAAACTGACGCTAATCCATAATGGTTATTATATTTTTAGGTAGTATCATCATTTTTGATAAGTGTATTTAAAAGACAAAAAAAATTTATAATTATATATAAAAGAATTCAATAGATACAAATTTCGGAAAGTGATATTCAATATCTAGTGTCGCAAACTGTTAAAAGTATCTTCAGATTCTTTTTTGAGTATCAAAAAGTATACGAATGAGTCAGTTTAATATGCATATGTATACACATATATAATTAGAGATAATAACTACATAATTTTGATTTATCTTTGTTTTTGTAGATCAGTACTAACATTAATTAAAAATTTTGTTAAAGAAATATTAGAACTATAAGACACCTGTTAACTTTCTAAAATATCTGTGGAAAAAAATTTATATGAGTCACTTTAAAATCGGTGTATATTTACATACCATCAATGAGATTATTATTTTTTTAGACAAACATATATATATGAATAACACCACTATATGTATATATATTCTTAAAGCAACAGAAGTAAAAAATTTCAGTACTACTTAAAAATAATAAACACAGGTAGTTATTATCTAATAACTTTTTTAATTAAATTATCTGCAAAATTTGCTGCAACTAATTCGCACCCTTTTTTTACTTGTTTATTTCCTATTTTCTTCGCTCGTTTGGAAAAATATTCTCCATCATTGTATAAATTACATACATAAACCTAAAGACAGACATCACCCCAACTATTTCGTCTATCATTCTGCTAATATCGAGCGGTTAAATAATTTTAATGTTTTAATTTAATAATTTTTAGTTCGTCGTTACTTCACCCAATGTCATACCTTTCTACCCGGCATACTGTGCACTGATCATCTGGCTGCGGTTCTGCTGCTCATCTGAATGCAGCTTATCTGACTGCTGTTCTGCTGCTCACTTGACTGTTGAAATGCCACTCACCTGAATGCTGATCTGCTACTGACTATGAGGCACAGGTCCTCCAGTTTTAAGTCTTTTTTTGGCCTACTTTACCCCCTCATCCTCTCTAATTATATAATCGTGGTTACAGTAATTCCTTGCACAGAGCTCTTACATATATTTATTTCAAAAATGTTAAGCTCTTTTGTTATTCCAGGATTCTCAGCCACGATTCTTTGCTTGGAAACTGTTCTTTACGCATTCCTGAGAGGTGATTTTGGTGGGTTCAAGTCTCATACTGTGACTTTTGATGCTTTCCACCTAACACAAAAAAATGGTATATAATTGTTATATACGTCAATTTTGAATACGTCAATTTATTTTTGCAATAATAATTTTTTTATAATAATTATAACTTAATAACATACATATGAGCCTTAGCAATAATATATAATATAATATCTTAATAATATATCTTAAATTTATAAATTTTATACACATAAATTGGTAATTTAAATATTGCGAATTTAACATTTTATATTTATCTTAATAAATTGTCAGCTAAAATTATTAAAAGAATATAAACACACCTCTGCATCTAACTTTTTATAAATGAGTAAATTATAAATTTTTTCATATTTCAAATCTCGTAAACATTTGTTTATAAATTAATTAATTAATTAATTAATCAAATTGGGTAATTCAGTTGTGTCCATATTGGAATGTATGAACAATATTTTATTAACTGCTTCCGAGTTATAGCAGCATTTAGCAGATATTAAATTTCTGGCAAGTGAGAGAGCTCTCTGCGATGAGGCGCTAGTTGCAGGTATAGCAAAGATTTTGTAACTTAATTTATACAATAATGGATATTCTAATCTATTTAGATACCACCATTTTAGAACATCCAAATTACTAGGGAATACTCCTTGAAAATTCTCATATGATTGTA